GCTGTGAAGCCTGTTCTATGATGATGACTGGCATTAAGAAAGCAAGTATTTTCCAGCTCTTGAGAGGTCACATGGCCCCAGGAAGTGCAGTATTCAGGGGCAGTGAAAGGCCGCTGTTCATCGCATAAAATTTTACGCCATGACCCGTTTTGGGAAGTAGGAATTGTCCAGCAGCTCAAGAGCTCTGAGTTACTGTGATTCATCTTTCGATAAACAAGGTGCGCTGAGCCAGTTGAATGTTGGTCAAACGAATGTATAAGTTCGAGATAATCCAAATGCTGAAATACATACAGCCGCTCAAGGAAGAACGGTTAAGTGTTCAAACGATTAGCCGGGAGATCGCGAGTTCGAAACCTCCTACTAGAGTTTCGTGAGGTACGCACCCCAAGGACAAAACAGGTGTACAGTACTCCTCAGCTTTTCAGGATAGATTAGCTTGAATTACCGCACGAAAACTCAAATGGGTACTAAACATAGATACTTTGAGGCGTATGAAATAAGATCACATACAACAAGGATCACAAAAGCACACGGTAGCTGAGGAATGGGGAAACACTTCAGGTATTTTGCGCAGTTGAGATCAGAAGGATCTGAGAGAGACCGATACCGAAAGTACGCTGCATATCCTAATTCGTGCATGTGGTTTGGGACACTGGATAGGCTCATTGTTTTTGTTGCTGAAATTTGAGTATAAATTCGTCGGCTGGGACCGGTTGTGGGCTGTCGAAGAGTTTTCGCAACCTTGTGAATAGTGCATTACGTCTAGACATGTATCAAGATATCTCGAATATCGTACCAAATGAAACATGAGGCGGCCTGATGCAGCACATTCAGTTGTTTAAGAACATCATAAAAGATAGATTCAGTTGGGTTCCAGGTGAGTCTCGCGTCGAAACCAAATTGAAATGCAAACGAGTGTAGTTATGAAACAATCATGTTTATGGGAAGCTTATGAGTAGATCGTAGTTGCCTTTCGCTTGCTGCATAAATTTGTCATTCCTTTGAGATCCTCGAGCAAATTTCTAACCAGATCTTTTCACGGTGGAAGATTCATATCAATGAAACCGAAACTAAAAGTTAGGTGACCTGAAGTTCCGAGAGTCCAAGAATCACAAACTGGTCTGAAACTTACGTTCCTGAATGATTTGTGAAAATCAGTATATCTCAGTGCAGGTGGATCAATAACTAGACAGCATTGATCGCAGATGGCCTATAAAATCTTCATGTACCGGCGAAAGGAAGAAGGCCTTCGCTGCAGAGTTAATAATTAGAAAATACCAACTGAACAGTTACTATTGGACTATTGGACAGGGAAACAAAACTCTCATGTGCATCTTGTTTACAAAAACGGAATATCGATCTTCTCTTTGAACGAGTCTTACCGAACTTTCCTGGATACTAATTGACTGTTGCTCAAATTCAAGCAAATGCTACAAAGTGACTCCACAAATTTTTCAATAGATCTCACTTTTCAAGAGACAGCGCGGATTTACGATAAAACATACTACTCGCACGCATCCCCATCAGTAGTGTCGCCGTTACACTGGCATCCCCTGTATTGGAAACCAGCAGCTCAATATGAATCTTAAGGTGCCTGGATAAGACAATTTAAGCGCACTGATATGAATCAGCAGATGTTTCGCTATCAGGTTAATACGATTCATAGGGCGCGCAAAGCTTTTCAACTCGACGTCACAGACTGATAACTTTATACCGGTTCATCTTTAATCTATTTTGAGACGTCTACAAATACAAGGGCCTGCATAAATAAAAAAGATGACCATGTTCATGTGACTGAAGTTTCTCGAAGTGAGGCATTCGCAGTTTTTGAAGAAAGCTTACTGATACATCAGTTTGGTCTTTACCTATCTTAGAAATTGCAAGTTGACAGTAGCAAAAAGGCTGTAATTTAGCCTGTCTGCCGGAGCTTGTGCCTCCTATTTGTAATTTTTCAGACAATTCCGATATATATACTCTCATTTGCATACAAATTTGGTTTTGATAGGAGACTGAATTGAATCCAGACAAATCTTTCCTTTATGATGGTCCGGAATGGCGGGAACCCGGAACTGCTCCTAACTGATGAGCTGCAGGAACGGGAAAAGCGGTTGTGGGCTGCTGAAGAGTTTCCAGCAACCTTATTAGTAGTGCGTTATTCCTAGACTATTCTTTGCGGATTCTTCATAAGCTGACAAATGTGCGGGACCTGGAAAGTTGCTAACCCCAAATTCACAGTTGGTGAGCACGAGTGATTTTAACAGTTGCTATCAGCTTGCACGATTTTTGTTCAGCTCCCCACAACATTACTAGCCATGGATTCGTAACAGAAATGGTTTTATTTTTCCGCACGTAACAGACTACTCTTAAGGTTGCTGAAAACTCTTCGATGGCACATGGTCGGTTTCGCTCTTCTTCGGGACCATCAGATAGGCATGATCCCCGAGTTCTCGTCAATCTAATGTCCCCATGAACCAGAATTTGACAGAATTTGCCCACTACTCTCACTTGCATGAAAATCTGGCATTAACGGGAGGCTCAACGGAATCCAGCCGAATTTCCCTTTTATAATATATACACTCCACTGCCTGGTGCCAGAAAAGAACTCACCGACAAAGAACACAACAGCTTTATTGAAACAATCGAGTGCATGCGAGTGCAAAAGTCACAACTTTATGACATTGATCCAGGTTGTCCGATAGGCGTTTAGTGAACACCCATCAACATCGATCGTGCTTCTGTGAAATGCCTGGACGCTGATCACATTCGACCGTGCTTCTGTGTCGTGCCTGAACACTCATCGGCGTTTGCTGAATTGATTGAACACACTGCTGCTACTTACCGTAATCGTGTTAAGGATGTGAGAGCATCTTAGTACTGCTCTTTATGTGTTTACATAAGTCCAGCTCACTGATAAGAAACTCGTAAGTTATTCGGTGTAAACTGTAGCTACCTCGCCACCCACATACTTAACTGTTCAGCTCACAGTTGCTCACTGTATCACGAGACTTGTCTTTTTTCATACTCAAATCACGTCACATTAAGCTGATGCATCGGACACCTATTGTCTGAACCGTCTAGTGAGCGTAGCAACTACTCATGTGCTGACACGCCCACGTACACGCAAACGGATCTACATATAGGGAAACCGAACACAGTCAGTACACACAGACTGGCGCGTGCACAGGGAGCAGGAGGTCAACCTCTCCACAAGTCCCCGGACAATTATGGAACACGTGTAGCAGTCGCACTGCGGAGAAAAACACGTTCCCACCGTCCAGACTTTCACCAAGGCACTCTCACAGACGATAAGTTCCTCTTTTGACTTGCTCCCATTTCGCGTTACATTTATTTTTATACGTGTGGCATCTCAACATTGTCAACTATAGCAAAAACCTTTATTGGTGCATACACCTGATTTGTATTATGGCCATCATCAACAGTGCGCTAATAGAACCAGTTTTTTATATGGAATTTGCGCGGTCCACTACTTACTTTTGGCCTAGTTCTTCAAGTTCCAATGACACTGTTCCAGACAACTGTTTGTATATTGACCACCGCTTGAAACATTTTAACGTTTCGTTCGTGACTTTCCTAGGCATGACCAACTATTTGCTGTGCTGGCTGTGCATTGGGAAAATGTTCCGCTTGGTACATCGGACCGTTGCGTGTTGTTAATGCTTCCAACAGTTTATATCAGAAAAGATTTCCAGATCAGTGTGAACAATTCCTACAGTACAGCAGACGCGAGGGATTATTTGTTTAGGAGTTTCTCAAACTTGAACAGCATACTTGTTTTAAACCAGCTTCTTGCTCATCAGTAATCCTGGCCCTTCCCTATCCACTCTGTGATAAACTTTTGAAATTTTCCGTTGGATTGAAAATTACGGAAATTTGAGGAAATTCGTCACCTCAATTTGGGGTCTTCAACACCTAAAGGAACAGTTTATAAACATGGTCCAATGCGCTTTATCAAAACCCATGGTTAAACGTTTAGACTTACCCTACATTAACACCGCTTAGGAAAATCGTGGCTGTCTAGAATTGTAACGCGTGATGAAGCCACTTTCTAGGGGAAGATTAAGGTTAAATGTGGATGTTGGAAAACCAGTCAGGGACTGTAATTCACCCCCCCCCCTGTCTCTTCCCCTCTCCGTTAAACTCTCCCAGTCTACCCAGTTAACTTTTTTCTCACCCAATGACACTGGCAGACACTTTCCTGCTCTCCGACCTACCAGACGGGTGGTCCTGATGTACTATTTCCCGCCTCACTGTAAGTGTTCCACTGACCTATGTTTTTCATTGACCGACAACTTTACACTTTCTCTCAGGATCTCAGGATCTCAGGAAAATCAATAACTATGGTATTTGAAAAATAGCCCCCAGCTTTGGCAATCTCCGTCAGCATTGAACAACTGTTCTCAAGGTTGTTTGTACAGCCATTCCGACTTACCGTGAGAGGGCATTAGCCCCAGGGAAGTAAGTGAAAAGACTATTAACAATTAGGTAATGAAGAAATTGAGTCAATGGTACCCATTTGTCAGAGTTTCGAAACTGAAATCAAGAAGTAAAACAGGTTTTAGCGAAAACCTTACACTTGTTCTAATCTTTACAGAATAATAGCTTATTTCGACTGTTTTCTGGCCATGGAGGTACCTGAATAGGCCCAACAGAGGTCACACTTAACTGTTGAATGACTTTTCTCTCTTCGTTTGACCTACAAGCAAATAAAAAGTTGACTAGCAAAGTTATACGTATCAACGTGCATAGATGGCATCCTCCTCTACTTCTACTTCCTGATTAAGCCGTCCAAACCCCATATTATCATCGAAACCAGATGACGCAAGGACAAGATCAACAAAACTGTGGAATATGAAATTACGGAAGAATTTTTGCCTACAGCGCAAGCAACAATCAGATTATAAGGTCAGGTCGATCAAATGATAACGTTTGGAAAATATGGGATACTTCAGTAACTGTATACTCACATAACGATGACTTACCGCTGTTGTTGGCATACAGTACGTTTATCACCGTTTTCTGGATTTCGACGACATAGTAAGGACAGCTGCACGAATTTCCCTCCCTTTTGAAATTCGGTGGTGCTAGCCTGATGAAAGACAAGTTTTAACTGAGGTCTAGAACTTTGTTCCAAGAACAACAAACCAATTACCGTGGGAGGATACGATAAATCACGGATAACTAGGTTGAAAAGCGTCCATTTACTCATCAAGTCTATCAGCAAGGGTAATGAAATCACGGAAGAATTTTCGCCTACAGCGCAAGCAACAATCAGATTATAAGGTCGGACAGATCAAATGGTTCCACAAAGCAGGGTAGACAAGCAGTTTTTCAGGCCACGTACCTCAGCTTAATTCTTAGACAGGCTTCAATGTGAGGACGCTTGATAGTTTGCAGTTTTTTTTGCTTGTCCTGCAAATCCCCTTTGTTCATCGCTTAACTGCTAATTAAGGTATCTTATCCTCTAACCCCTTTTACCCAGAGTAGAAAAGTTATGATTTTTCTTGGCGTTTTAGCTGGTCACCCTGGCTCCATAAACTTGTTTGGATCTCATACATATGCATTCAAAACCCTGAGACAAGTGTATTGAGAACACAGGAAAAGTCTGAAATCTGTTCAAACACCGACGTCTTTACCTCATCTTTGCCACGAATAGCTTTAGGGACAAGGTGGTTAGGGGAAACGTGTCCAAAGTTCCAAAGAAAAAGAATAATCCAGAAACTATTTGTGGCCTCTAGTTTCGGAGCTTCAACTCCTCATAAACCTTGAAACTTTCTTCCTGGAGAGGATCCCCTTCCGGGTGGGGAATCTTTAACGCTGACCACGTATTAAAAGCTTCAAGCTCCGTTTTCTCCATTTTTACTTCCACCCTGCCTTTCAGTTCACATTTTATCACACTGGAGTGTGATATTCAACTATATTTCAGATTGATTTCCCTCACTTTGCATTTGTACGACCCCATTTATACACGTTATGTGGTCTCACTGGGCTGTGCGAACTTTTCGCGACTATAATCAAACCGGAAGTATTATTTTGCATGTCAACGGATAGCCCACGGTCCAAAAAACTATCTGGAAGCATAAGTCACGCGTTGGTATGAAAACAAGTGGTGCGAAGTAGGACGGTTAGTTAACATCAGTTTGTTTTCCCAACTGCCATCTGCTGCTGTTTGTAAGGGAAATATCCCACAAGCTGCGTGGGCCTTCCATCTGGAAGGTTTTCGCTCGAGGGACCAATCGACATAGAATTACTCGATATGCACGAATGGTACCGTATTCAAAATGGAATCTGGTAATTGGTGGTCAAATGTTATGACGTCCAGTTGCGTTCGAACCCCCCGAAAGGCCCATGAGATATGCATTACTGAGGATTCGCAAAAAAGAAGAGGCATTGATACAGTTCTTTTAGGCGTGGACTGATTTCATTATGCAGAAAGAAATTTCGAAAAAGTCACCCAACACCTTACACCGTAACTAGCGGAATCTACATTTCCGTCACGTTCAACACTTTCATCACGATCACCACTATCCGATGCCCGACCAGATCAAATATTCTTTACTCGTCTTATTCCAAAAAAAACACAATTCCATCATTTGGAACACCGGCAAACGGTTAAGTTTCCCTGATACAAGGCGACAGCTAGAGCGTCTCTGTGGATTCTAATGAGTTTTAGCATGTTATCTACCATCTTGCCTTATACAAGAGTTTGGTACTCGCAACGATAAAACTATAAATGTTCAGCGTGAAACATTATTGAAGCGGAAAACTAAAAACAGCATACAGATATACATGATGAAGTTAACTCAAACAGCTGTGTGTGTGTGTGTGAGTGTGTGAATGCTGGTACTATTTACGGGGTCGAACAGCATTTGAACCCTTGCAACTTTACAGAATAGTTAATGCTTCCAGGAAAAAAAAATGAATTCAGTCAGTGAGTAACGGCAGCAAGGAACCAACCGGACTCAAACGATCTTACAGAGGGAGACGTTCCTGATGAAATTTTGTTTGTCCGTATTAAAATTTGTTTTGGGATCACAGTAACACAGAGTGGCGGCAACTGATCATGGGGGTCAATGGCAAACGAAATGACTTTGTTCCATTCTGTCTGGAGAATTGCGATTTCCCAAACAGCTCCAGGTAGGATATACTAAAAACTTCACATCACTTTTTGACCACAGGTTTGGCGTAAGAGGGCAAGGACTGACCGCTCGTTGCGTAGAGGTTAACCTCGGCATCGCGGTTTTTGTTCTGATCCATAGTTTTTGACGAAGTGGAGGGCTGTTGATTGGCTTCGGCGGCTGGACCAACATAAGCTCCAACTGCTTTAGTGTCTTCAGCGGCTTTTGGAGTAAGGCTTAACCGTGCCAAGGATCGGGTAGAATTATCGTCATTTCGACAACAACAGCATATTAGGAATATAATGAGACCGAGTAGAGCCACAAACAGTCCGAGACCCATTAGGACACCCTGGACGACTGGATCTAGTCCTCCGTCTTGGTTGGCATTCTGTTGGGCCCAAATACCCTCTGGTCTGAGAAGACACAGTATAATCTGCACTAGTCTCACATATGTGTGGCTGTTGAAGAGAGCAGAATGCATTGTGGTTCAAACCCAACGATGACGAATAAAAGCATCCGATGTTGAACTTGGCCGAGTCTAGCGACTGATCACATGAGACGCTCTGTCTTATACATGACAATTGTTTCACTCGTGTATTGTATAGATGGTTGCTAAGATAACAGAACCACGATTGCTAACAAGCAAATATTTCCCAGTATATCCTTGCGCACTATTGGACAAACACGTCAATGGCATTCGTGCACAGACATGTGAGGACTTTTGTGTGGACTCATTCATGAAAGTGCTCTGCTTTCGAGCGTTCATTGTTTCAGTTATTAGCCGATAGTTCGTCTTGTCCCGTTGTTTTTCTCATTTGCTCAACTATTGTTGCTACCTCCTCATGTCATCCAGATAATATATTGTTCCGTTCCCATGCGTTTATTCAATTTCACGCCCGTCAAGAAGTTTCTGTCACGTGATTTTCAGGTGGTGTCCGTTAATCTGGCTTTTGTTGAGCTGAAAGTAAACAAGCTGATGAGTTTGATGGTGTATTGATAGAAGTGGTTCAGTCTGTGGTTGATGTTGGCGTATACTGGCTTCGGGATCAAATTCACTTGTGGTTCGGGTAGCTGCTTCCAACGCCACTGAATGATACTTGGCTTAGAAACAAGAAGACTCCGAAAAGATGCTCTTCATAAGTTTGATATAAATGGCTGTTGGTAGTTTGAGGAGATTCGGTCATTTCCAATAAAGATTTTGCAATGTAAGTGAAGCCAATCTTTTTGCTGCAAAACTGAGCAGCACTGTACAGCTGTTTCATTCCTATTCGGAATCACTAGTAGTACTGGTTGAGTCCGTGCAAAGTAGTTCACACAACTATTTGACCACTTCGGTACAACAACAAGGTAGTTTGAATGTTGAGTATTAAAAAACAACTAAAGAACCGATAGAAATGAAACATTTACTATTTGTCCAATCAGACAAAGGGTTAGGTACAGCTATTATTCATAGAGATGAATACCTTTGGAAAATGAGCACTATCCTCTCCGATTCTCGGGAGTTCAAACGTGATATGACCTCGTACAACTAGCAATTCGTAGAGTACAAATCACCAAACATCTGAAAATTCGGAAGCTTCGTAGTCACATCACGGAATATCAATATCTGGAACCCATTGGAACCATAGCTCCATGTATGCGTGATGCTCCCAAAATAAACAAGACCGGTGCCCCTCTAAGACCAGTCATGTGCACAAACAATTCAGCCTGCCAAAAAATTGCACTTTGGATGGTCAAACTCGCGTGTGCAAAAGTTCATTTGCCCATTGTTTAAACGATTCCTTTGAGTTGGCGGACAATATGAATAAGATTGTGGTGAGTTGCCAGAAGTTATTTTCCACGGTAGTTGGTTCGTTATTAGCCATTTATATGATTTTATCTCCGAACACAATGTGAACTTGGGGCTTTCTATTCACTTGATTTTACTCTGTAAGAACAATATTAGCGGATAGCTTCTTAGGGATGTTTTGACAAAAGATTAGAATTCCAGAATGTTGGTTTTATGAGCGATGCGATATTTCTTGTCTCTCTTATGTAACCTTAATGTGACCCACCCTAACCTCCGGGTTACGTATGAATGTGGATCCAACTGCCATCTACGTTTCCTGGATATACTTCGTAAAGGTACGGACGGGTCCCTCAATATGCCTTCTATCAGCCGTATGAGAACGTGTGGTGCTCAGTAGTCACAATTTTCCAAGTACATTCAAACAGCTTATAGGCGAGGGCTGGTAAGGGATTTATTCTAGAAACCAAGGAGACAATACAGTCTGGATCAACTTAAGCAAGAGGGGTGAGTATTGAAGAAAACCCTTCCGAGGTACCATCAGCCAGGACGCTTTATTGAAACCCGCTGTAGAACCGGAACACTAACAGCCATGGTTCATTCAACCAGCTTGATTCTTCGGTTCAAAGGTGACCAGGTTAACACTGACATAAGACATTACAACACTCGAGCTACGTCTCACTATGACCACAAGCGTGAGCCTAGGCTGTCTAGTCTACCTCATGTAGTCTGCGAATTCTCTTGCAACTACGGGCATGCTAACATCAGCGGCAGGGACAGATAGCTAACGGAAGATGCGACAGAACACATTCCAAAACGTAGTCAGGAAAACCGTCGGTTTGCAATTGCAATCATGAATCGTCAATAAACAGACATCCGCTGGGTACTGGCCATCGGACTGACCCGATCAACTTTTTCCGAATCCTATTGCGCAACAAAAAATCAAGGTCCCGCTGGGGAGAGAAGCGCTGCTGGTAAGGTTAAAACAGTCCGGAATGCATCCGAAAAGTGATTTGGTTACCTTCCGACTGATCAGATGACTTTCGGAAGTCCACCAACCAATATCTGTACAGCATTGTTCCTAATCTCCATCCATATAAACTGCATGTTCTAGACATGAAACTGAAAGGATCAAAAGAAATGTTAACACGTCGGAGCATATGTCTTCTATCAGTTCTAACGAGATGGATGAAGGGACACAATGTATCAGATACATCGATTTTTTTAACCAATGGTCATCATGCCTCTCAAGTCGATGAAAGGTCGATGAAAGTCCACAGCATACAGCTGAACATCACTCCACTTATGGGTTATCACTAATCAATATATCTTGACCATATGGTTATTTCGGACATTTGTCTATGATATTTCTAATAAAATTATTTATGTTCATATTATTCTGATTGCTACGGGTTCGAATCTCGGTATGTGTTTCATGCAGTATTGAGTGCTGACACCAAAATACTAGTTTCATTCTTCAGTGTCCGAGGAGTCCAGGACGAATCCAGTGCTTCCTATGGTGTTTGTCCACCGTGCACACCATCCCAAAGAAAGAAGGAGAAAAAGAAAATGATGAAAAAAAGAACGAACGCTAGCCAACCCGAGTGATTATAATTTGTTCAATCTGTTGATGGGTGGTTTGGAAAGAATAGCCATTTTACAAACTTGTTTCGCAATAGAGTATCACTCTTTGGAAAGTACACCTTTTGGGGATTATTCGAGTGGACCAACCGGAAAGTTTCGCGCTTGAGGTACCGCTGTAGATTGCTGCAGCTAAGTTATTTTTGGTCATCCGTGCCCATAAACTAAGTTTGGCACCAGTAAGTAATTATCTGATACGTAGTCAAGACTTGGCTAATGAGGTTCTTTTAAAGCATCTTTACCCAGGATCTGGTCCACACTCGCTTATCTATCCTGGAAGTTAGCAAACTGGATATAGGCCCTGTCACTGAAAGAAGCGGTTTCCCAAGTTTCGCCATTAGGATGAGGGTAATCGGGTAATCAATCAGGTGCTAGCCCACTTTTTTCTGGAGTTCAACAGAAAGCCTCGGGATGGGCAACGTCAGTCGTTAATCCAATTATAATTTGGTGTGTGCCTGAGTGGTGAAGTTCTACCAGATGGTTACTGTGCGGGGAAATGTGTGGATTCCATTAGCAAGGGTTGGACTGAGTGTCGCGTGTTGATGCGGCAAATTAAAGTGGATCAGACTCTGCTATGAGACTTGGTTTCGGCATTGGTGGTTGATAAATTTGAGGAGGGCTGCAACAGAACAGTGCGCGCTCAGGACAGACAGCAAAGCGACGATAAAAGCTGCTTGGTGACGAAACATGACGTTGGTTAAAGTGGCTTACGCCATGCTTTTGGTACCAACACCTATAGTTGGCGAAGCACTAATCAATGGCTTAGCGACTATCAGGACCGTTTAGTACTGCCACCACGCAGAGCACGCAGTGTGTATGGGAGACAGTAAGAGCGAGACGGTTGTGCACTGCTTGGCTGGGAATGGCTGGACGGAATCTCGCGGGTTTTTAGGATGCTTCCTGACCGAAAAGTACATCTGCAGTGAAGAACGTATCACAAAGGTCATCGTTGGTCAGTGCACAATCCGGAAAGCAGGCACATGGGCGGGGCGTGCTAATTATGGCTTAGCGACATGCGACCAGAAGAGCGGGTATAAAAATGGTCTAGGCAGGAGCGTCGCCATCGGCGGCGTTCAGTATTCGCACAATGGAATTGAATTTCCGAAAGCTATGACTTGTCCTTGATGGACTAATGCAATCGGGCAAATGAGTTCAGAGTATCAGTACAAACTTCCGAGCCCCATTTAGGCATCCCGAATGGACAATGAAATTCGGTGAGCTGCAAAATGTGAATGTAGATTAGAATGGTTTTTGATTTGAGCACATACGCAACAAAATGAAACATTTTGACGCAAAAATTTTACTCCTGTTGTAAAGGTTTTGCAGCTAAGAGCATTGTGCGGCTAATGGGCCCCGGCATCGGCTAGACAAGAACGAACAAACAAATGACCATATTTGGCCATTCAGCCATGCTATGTATTTACGCACTAGCTCTGTGTGTTTGACTATAGTAGTCTGTCGGGCCCACTTCAGGCGTAACCGAGAGCGGCCTCACGATAGGACAGAAATATGTCCTCTCATTCCTTTTGGTTTCTTCCTGAGATGCGGACCAAACACAAAATGGCCAACAACAACCTTCCTAGCTTAAGGAAGCAAACCTATAGTTCACAATGAGGTTTTGCACTTCCGTTTTTTACGGGGGAATTTCGTTGGGCTCCCATTGCCAAAAGCCCAGTAATGGTAGTTCACAAGTCTGGGAATGCACGAGATAGATGTGCTAACTCAGCTTACTCAGATAGTTTGATTTGGATGATGGAAGATGTCCCAAATCTGTCTCTGGCGTCCATCTGTTGACGTCTTCTTTACAAAGGTGGGAAATTTGGGGAAATGAGTAATATGAATTGTTTGGTCCTGCGTCCTAAAACGACTATTCGCGGGTTTAGAGCAGTTTGATCTCTGCGGAGATATCATACCATCTTAGTACGCTTTTTTGAGAGGCTTCACTATAAATGCTTGGTGTATGTGAGAAGGAGGCGCTAGTTACACTGTGGCATCGCAACTGAGCACACAGTCATGGACGCATCAGGTGACAACATAAAGTAAACCTGACATTCTTTTCGTATGGAAAAAATGCATCGTAAGGAGATAACCAGCAGCGTATATTAAACTTCTCAAAGGCTAGCTCCTCATATAAGGGGGTGACATCATTCCCTTTGTTTGCAAACAAAGATCGAGACAAGTACTTCCTTTCATTTCTTTGTTTAAGTACCACAGTGCTGAGCACACTGTTGATGACGGACAGGAATGAGTGTAGTGATGTCCATTTTTACAAAAATTGTAAATTAGAATGTTGTACAACTTTGCTTCGGTTATTGTGTTCTGGATATTGAGCCTTTAGCCTTCTTCCAAACAAAACAAAATGAAGAAATTCGAGCTACTCAAACATTTTAGTAGTACAAGCGTTCAGAGCAGGATGAAGGCGTTTGTCAGACGATAGTCCGACTGCGCAAATCTGCGGAAACCACCGGTGTAAACATTCGATTTCGACAGTGAACAGGTCCGTGGGATAAATGGTTGACAGACTTTCGTTTTGAATCAGGGATCTGGAACGATATAAAGTACGTCAGATTCATTCGTGTAAGTGCAGGTATTCATACCTGAACATAGACCAGCGGAAAACGGCAAACTGCATTGAAGATCGTAATATGGTCATTTGAAACTCCTAAAGAGCCCGTTCATTGCAATGAAACCAGTACAATCACTCCTAATGAGCCCGTTCATTGCAATGAAACCAGTACAGTGCACGATTAGTGACTTACAGATGAAACAGACTTGTTCCGACGGAACAAATTCTTTCACAAATGGACACACTTTCTCAGGACGCGAATTATCTACAAGATAGAAAACCAATGTTAGTGTACTGAATTCCCCTCAGTATTGTAGTGTCAGCCCCAGGTATTAATGTGTTTGTAACGTCAACATAATCTGGGATAGCTGCAACAACCTAAAACTAGTTTATGTACTCAACATATGACCAAGACAAGCATAGTTAAATTACCCAACAGCTGGTAACCGATCAGTTTGTTAATCCGGCTCAAGTATCTTCAATGCCTAGTTGGCCTTCACCGAACCAAAATTATTTTGGGTCAACTGGGGAAGGTACAGATTCCTTCCATTCATGTTGTATACAGGTCTGGTTGTGGACAGGTTTATGACAGGCTGGTTTATAACAAATAACTGCCTTTTTCTTCAAATGCTGGTGGCCAACAAAGCGAAGACTGTGATTGATTTACTAAATTCTGTTACAATAGGTTACAATGGATAAATCCTAGACGAGGTGGAATAAGATGGTGCATCCATGAATTTGGTGATAATCCTGTTTTTTTTTGATAGCTAGAACAAAATAAAATTTAGTAAAAGATCCGGGAAGTCAGTTAGTTAGAAAACTTGACTGAAGTTAGATCATTGCTAATCTATGTGACTGTTTGAGTGCTACAGTACTCCTTGAGTTTCACTGACAGTGAAAAATAACACAATGGTAGGTTCCTAAACCATTTGGATAAAAACTCTAATAGCCTGAAAGGGAAGAATAGATGACGTCAGAGTGCAGTTAGAGCGACTTACCAATTGCATATTCTGCCCAATGGCCTGTGAAACGTCCTTCAGGTACGGCTCTATTTAGTTCTCTCAGAAACCTCAGGCCGATATAGTCGGGGCCTTCTCCTCGTCCCAAAAAAGGTATTGACACCTTTAGGTAAGTCTTCGTTATTCTGGCACATTTATGACCGTACAAACTCTGTCCTATCGACTGACACCCCAGGACGTGTACACTTTTGAAACGTGTTCCCAGAATCTGTTAGAAACAAGTTAGAGAGTTTGGACACATTGACAGAATGAAAAGATTGTTTTAGAGCTTCGGTTATACTGCTTAGAACGATGAACCATTCTGTGAAAACTAATGAAATAATCAACGAAATACAACCATTTGCAAATTGCTTTGGTGTTACTGAGGCATCTAACTGAATCTCTCGTTTATGATTCTCTCCAAATAAAATGTGCTTCTCAAAGGCTTCTTCATGCTCTGGCAAGCACGATAGTTGGGACATGACAGTATATTTCCACTAGTTAAAACTCTCCGTAGAAGTTTTCAGCAACCTTATGAGTAGTACGTTAGCTGATTAGTCCTTCGATGTCTGCCAAACTAAAGACTATACATCAAGGTGCAGTCCCCAAATAACCCCCTGGCATAAGTACTAGTCTGACGCTGTTGCATTTTCACCTTACATTGTACCTTTTTATCAGGTGATGGGCTTAGTCCACCGACAAGCTGTGGCCGAAGACTGTGACCAGTGCGTCTGACAGATCTTGAATAGTCGAATAACCTTCTGCACAACCCTCACTGCGCACCTGATAAGTGCTAGTGGTTGCGGGATTTGTGGACGGTCGTTTGAAAAAAATTATGATCCTGTCCTAGTGCAATCATTCTGGTGAGTCCACAGAAGATTTCCGCTCGTATTACCTATGCGCGAACATGTTCATCTGTTTGGACGTGAGAGTTCAGATGCGTCCAGCATGCGCTGGCGGAGTACACTCGCCTCGCGTGTCAGATGTGCGAAGTTCAAATCATGGCACGGTAAAGTATATGTACTACTGTTGAGGTTTATTAAGAGGGAAACTCGAGTCCAGTTCTTACCTTCTTTGGTGTGGACTTACCAAAATGATTACGCCAGGACATAAGGACGATTGTTAAAACGAAAGTCATATGAGTGTGCATCTGATAAGTTTCGAACGGGGAGTTTGGAGTTAACACTTGATACGTTCGAAGGCTCTCTCAACATTTAGGACCAACATGTACCTGTTTTGCCTGAGGCAGTGTCGATATCTACCTATTTACCCCTACCGTGGAGTGAATCATGGAGCTGAGCCACGGAAGCACTACTCAGAAATGTCTTAATGAATTCGACAAGGGTTATCATTCTTCCTGTTTTTTTTTCACTGCCTCTCCAATATACCACAGTTCAAGAGTGCAATTTTTCGCCTAATTGTATAGCTGCCAAACATACCATTGTGTGAGTTTATTATCAACATTTAGTCGTCGCAGTTGAATGCCCAACGCACTCTGATCGTAGTTCACTCAGGAAAAAAGGCAGGAAACAAAGGTTTCGAGGACTGATCAAAACTTGAAGACATTCGTGTAACAAGAGATGCACACAGTCCACGTGAGGTCAACTTACCCTAGAACAGATTCCCAATCCACCTTTTCCAATTAGTATGTAGTCTGTGGGCAAGAAAAACAACATCCATCAGGGTTTAAGTCATTGTCTTTCGTTACAATAGTTGTTTAGTTCTCGGGTGACATATTCACGGCAGGATCAACTCAATAGATCACTGAACTTGATCATCTCAGGGACAAGTCTTCCACTTTTTTGCCGGGCATCCAGTCAAGCATGAAAAATGCATATTTATATCGAAGTGTTCGTGTGATCAGGCGCCTGGTTTGCGGTGCAGAACTAAACAGGCGATAAGGGAATTTATTCGGAACGCCATGTGTTAAGCAGAATAGAACAACGAACCAGGTCTGCAGACTGGTACACTCGGGACATTTGCGTTTCTCATGTGACTGATTTGGTTGCTAGAGTGACACAAAGAACACCTGAAAAGTGTGCTAGTTTTGAGGTTTGCCTATGGTATCTCTTGGTCAAAACAGCGATACAAAGGTTTTGATGAAAGGAAGATGCCTTCACTACGGAGTTACTTATTAGAAAATGCCAACTGACCAGTTACAGACTATTGGACAGGGAAACGAAACTCTCATATGCATCTCGTTTACAAAAACTGAATATCCATCTTCTCCTTGAACGCGTCTTCCTGAACTTTCCTGGATATCCACTGACTATTGCTCAAATCCAAACAAATTTTACAAAGCGACTCCACAAATTCCGTAAAAGGTCTCACTTTTCAAGAGACGCAAAGCGGATGTACGAGAAAACATACTACTCGCATGCCCTCCCATCAGTAGTATCACCGTTACATTGATAGCGGTCGTCTTTGGCGAGGTGGCTAGTGGGTACAATACAATGTGAATAATGTTTGAATATATTCAGGAACAACCCCTCCCTGAATAACAAGATGGATTTGCTTCGAGTCTAGTTTGCTCAATGCTGCACCCAGAAGGTGTATGCAGGAGAAAGGAGCAAAGTTCTACACATCTGTGTTCAGTTTTACTCAAACAATTTAGCAACTCACCCTCATGACGACAGTGATCTTGTGATTGAGGATAATCTGTGGTGGCAAGAATGAAGCAGGCAGAAAGGAAATAAGGTTTATTTCTTTACATTCTCGGGACGGAACAAAGCAGTCTGAGGTGACCAGAACAATCCCCTCTAGCTCTAGTTAATTAGGTGGTCAGGTGCACTATGCCATTCATTTTTACTTGTCTATGGTAGAACGTATACATTTCTTGAAGTTAGCTTTCAGTTCGGCAGTAGAATGCTAGGTGTAAGTACATTTCAAACCGATTCGTTTTTATCTTAGTGTTCAAACCAGACTAGGAGTTCCCACTGTCTTGATGTTTTAAGCGCTTTTATTTTAATAATAAGCCGTACGTAAAAAGGTTTATATTTTTCGTTTGGTCTTGTAAAACAAGAAAAAGTATAACATCACGATAACTTACAGCATACATCTCTTTCCATCTCAGTGTTCACAGATATTGTGAGATTCGCCCACCGGGGACCACGTAAACGTCGGTACATGGACCAGTTATACTCGAATGGTTCAGGCGCATACTCATTGAGACATTCTTGATGCTCAAAGTGGACTGAGATTTCGTATTCAAGTACCAAAGCTTCGAGAATCTCAGCCCCTGTTGGACTGCGTAGTCTGCATGTGTGAAAGAAGTTCTTTTGCCATAACTCCTCGTTTCCTTGTCTTATCTGCAGGAAGGGAAGTGATTGGGGACCAGAAATAAACCACAACGCTATATATATATATATATATATATATTATAACACGACGAAATTTTGACCTCTGTGCAATAATTGAGTAATGGCATTCACCGTTCCTCGTTTACACACCTATGGAATGCTTGTTGACAAAAAAGGTATGCGATCAGGGTCTCACCTGCAACACTACAATCAGAACGAACACGATTTCAAAGTTACGTAAAACGCTTCACAACTTCGAATGCCCATCCTTGGATTGTAAGTGGTGCGTTCAGTGATTGCATGATTGCCGAGAGCATGCCAGAGGACGCGATGACTTTGGTGAGTATATCCAGAAACACCTATAACATTTGCTCCTCTACGAAGACGACAGCTTTTTTCGTGTGCATATTGCAGCTTTTTTATTTGAACTGGTGAATCTATGTATGGAAGCTTTATGGCCTTACTTTTGATGTAGTTTGCTGGGTTTAGACAACCTGTGTATAGTTTCAGTTGTCTACATACTACTGTTCAACAGAAATTTTATGAGTAGCGTAGTAGGTTCATACGGTGTATTGCGCTGTCTCGAATGTCGTACCAGCTGAACAATGCGGCGGTCTGGTGCAGCAAATTTAGTTGGAGAAAACATCGCAAACGAGTGCTTCAGCCGGATTCCAAATGAGTCCCCCGTCAGAACTAAAATGGTATGCACATGAGTACATGGTCTAAAAAGTACATACTAAGTACATTAGTAGTACATTACTACATTGCTAAGACCTTCTTAGAGAATTCGACTCATATCAGGCCATCGTAGGTTATGTGAAATTTTAGTACTGTTTGCATGCTTTTCAGCACAGTGTGGACACACTCTTCATTAGAAATTTCCCAACCTCCTAGCACAAGCGACAGTCCATTAGTTACTCAGGAGAAGATCAAAATTCACTGGATGAGTAAGACTTCCGTCTGAGAACTCGTCGCCCTAGGAGATAGTCAAAACGTGTGAGCGCTTGATGTGGAGTTCGTGATTGAAGAATAAGTGGCACTGTATTCTAAGTGCGAGCCAATCACACTGCCGATCAGCTGCTCGTAACCAAACTGCTTGCTACTTAGTTGATAATCCTACGGTGGCCAAACTGTTCACTCTTCAGTTCCTGCGAAACGAACGATACGAATAGTTTATAAATGACGGTGATAATGAGTGGTGATGTTTGACAACATCTCACAGTTCGATGGCTATGTTTCAGTAAATAAGACCGAAGAAGATTTCAGCGCAGGAAGTTTTCATCAAGTTTGCGAAGAAAGTTTTGCCGTGAAATGGAGTTTTATGTGTAGACGAGTTATCTGTCATGTAGTGTTAATGAACTGGGTGGGAACGCAGATTTTGATGATATTATATATATATATATGTATATATATATATATATATATATATATATATAAGATACAGGATACAGATCCATAAATCCAAAAGCCAGAAATTTGTGGCAAAAGGTATCTGTTCTTGTCATTTGTCCTGATTATCCACAATTTGTCTCTGAGCACACAGCTCTGGAGTTGGTAGCTTGAAGTCGATCAACATGGGCCATGTTCCATACTGATTTTCGAGCTATTCCTAATCGAATAATTGAAACCCGATAAATGGTGGCTTGTATCCGTTGCCTGATTTTCTGCGGCGCGCATGCAAGGAGTGGGATTTACACGGCATGCTTAAACAGACAAGTGGACCGAATGTTCATCAGTTCGCTGTGGGCCTGTTAGCTAAATATGGCATTCAGGTTTCCGGTGGCTTGCAGGCCAACTGCCACTTTTTGGACTACAGTGGGCTTTATCCTCCACTTGCAGCCTTCATGTCTCTTCATATGAGAAAGTGCCCTTCATGTGAGGGTCTTTAATTCTTTGGTACTGGTTGGAATTCTACATTCTCTCTTTCCTTATTAGATGTTGATTGTGGGCGATGGGTGTAAAACGGATGAAAACTGTTATGCACTTAGTAAGTTTGCGTCCATTCTGGTTTGAGAATCTAACGCAATAACAGAGCAGTGAAACTTGAGATGATACCTGGATGTAGAGCGTAGTCCCCTGTAGGAGCGCCTCGTACCTAGAAACCCCGCACCTCCCAGTGCAACGGAGGATACTACTGATGAGGCACGCGAGTAGTATGTTTTCTCGTAAATCGGCTTCGTGTCTATTGAAAATTGAGATTTATTACGGAATTTGTGGAATCGCTTTGTAATATTCGTTTACATTTTAGTGATAGTCAATGAGTATCCAGGAAATTTCAGGAATACGCGTTTGAGAAGACGGACATTTAGTTTTTATAGACGAGATGCAAATGAGAGTTTCGCTCCCCTGTTCGATAGTCTGTGATTGTTCAGTTGATGTTTTCTAACAAACAATTCTGCAGTGAAGGCCTTCTTTCTTTTACTTAGGCGATAACAGTGGACACTTGTAACCCAGTCAGATTGCTCGACTCCCCTATCAACGGCATGTTTTATCTAGACAGCAGATATATGGGTGTTGACATTCATTGATACTCACGAAAAGCTTATTTAAATGAAGCGAGGATGCGCAGCGCCATCGGTTGATAAAACATTAACAAAGAAGCATTGATTTCTGTGACTGGTCACAGCACGAAATCATGAACCGACTTAAAATGACGGTGTTCTATATCAGATCTAAGTTGAAGTCTATCGAAAATGGAGTTCTCAGTCCTTATTTACTGAGTTCCCAGCAGGTAATACAAGGCGCATTTTTGGCCTGATCGATTGCAGGAACCAAACCAAAAAAGTATGTTCAGCATTAGAAGCAGTAGAAGAGTAAGGCAGGAGTTTTCGGAGGCAATGTTTTCATTACAACTACACTCTCCCTAGATGCTTCATTTGCGAGTTCACCAGCTTATCGTCACTATAGTACCACTTGGAACGGTTGAAGTCTTCTCCAACTGGGCTAATGACTGTCGAACTGTAGTACTCGACCGACCTGTTGTCGCAGATACCAATCTCGTAAACTGATGATCTTGGCCGTTGCGATGAGTCAGATGTAAAATAGCTCACTTCAAAGACCTAACGAACAAAACAGTCAAGGAAACGAATATCGGTCAACATCTTCGGCGAACCAGAAACACTTCTATCATTGTCTTGTGTGGTGTCATCAATCTAGTGAACAGCAGCAAACAGTTTACGACCGCAGAAAACCGAAAACGTCTTCTGGATTGCATTTACTAGGGCTGGTGGGATAGTCTAGGATGTTCACGAGGTATTTTGGATGATGGTTTGTAAAACGTCTTCAGAATGTGCGCTTCTGGTCTGGGGGCAGTCTAACCATTCCTTTATTGTGAAGCTTCACTTTGGTAGGTTTTGAAAACTCTGAGGATTGCGTATACAGAAACCTATTTTCTGTGACTTATTTTAATCAAAATCAGAACGTCTCTGGTCCTGAAGATACATCAACTTTGCGTTTTGTCCCGATTTGCCGTCATCTGGTAGATGTGACAAGATCGATTAGATGTCGTTTTGGATGACACTTCTCACCGTTCATGGCTGTGCCACACTGCCATTAACCACACTTGAAAGCCTGACAAACGTAAACTGGAGGGGCAAAATACAAAAATTTGCAAATTAATTGATGTCAATGGAACAACCAAATCTCGAACATCATGATGTTTTTTTCAAAAGAATGTGGTGCAAGAAGGCCGCCTCATTTTTCAGTTGGTGCGATATCCATGGTATCGTTGTATATTTTCTTGACGCAACACACTACTCATGAGTTTTCTTGTTTAGGCTTATTCGAAGAATTTTGTGGGAAATTTGATTACTTCACTGTAGCCAACAAAAAACTAGTAAATATCCACAACTCTCATGGTGATACTGATAAGCACTAAGTCCAGGGGACTTCAAGTTGAAGATAAACCTCATGAACCCATGATGTGTTTAGCCGTCTGGTGTTTTGTTTAATTCAGAACTCATCAAGTGTGGGGAAGAGGACTAATGGGGTGTCAATTTGGCCCACGGTTCAGTGAAAATAACTTAAAAAACCAGGCGCTGTGCGTTGATCTCGGCAATCATTCATCTGACGTGTAAATGCAGACAACTACTTTGACGAGGTTTATATCTATCGGACGCACTTCTGAACTACAGTAGAATGGAACTTCACCAGCAAACAACCTTCCTACAGTTTCAACGATTTATGCCCAATACCATACTGCTGTTGTTTGTAAATAAAAAGGAATGTTCACCCAACTTCCACTATCGGTTTTGCCCTGTTCAGGGTGATCGGTCAGAGTCTGTCCCCGAGTTCTCTCCTGATTGTTTGTCTAGTCAGTGAACTCTGTTGAACTGTTCAGCTCGTGTGATTTGCTGTTCATCAGTAATCTAGATTTGCCTATGCAAACATGTCATATAAACATGTAAGACAAACTCGTTTGAACGTTGAGTTGGTTCCAACAAATCTATGAGGGCCTTCTGCAACTAAATATGCTTCAAAAAAGCCGCCCTATTTTTCATTCGATATAATATTCGAGGCATTGCAAAACACTACTCGTAAGGTCACTGAAAATTCTTCAACAGCTCACGATCGGCTTCGCCTTTGTTGATGCTCATCAGGCAGGTGCAGCCCCCAAGTTTCTGTCAGCCTCATGTTCTAATTAAACCGAAATTGCACGAAATCGGCAAAATGTACTAATTCGCCAACCAATTCAGTTTTGACAGGAGACTCACTTGGAACCGAGCTGAATCCCCCTTTCGTGATGTTGTTAAGCAGTTGCATCGGACGCACTTCTGAACTACAGTAGAATGGAACTTCACCAGCAAACAACCTTCCTACAGTTTCAACGATTTATGCCCAATACCATACTGCTGTTGTTTGTAAATAAAAAGGAATGTTCACCCAACTTCCACTATCGGTTTTGCCCTGTTCAGGGTGATCGGTCAGAGTCTGTCCCCGAGTTCTCTCCTGATTGTTTGTCTAGTCAGTGAACTCTGTTGAACTGTTCAGCTCGTGTGATTTGCTGTTCATCAGTAATCTAGATTTGCCTATGCAAACATGTCATGTGATGTTTGCGGGCAACTGAATGTGGTGCACTAGGCAGTTTCATGTTTCAGTTGGTATGATATTCGAGATATCGCGATACATGTATGTCCGTATCCCACTACTCATAAGGTTGTTGTAAATTCTTCGACAGCCCACGACCGGTTTCACCCTTTTTGCGGCTCATCAGGTAGGCGCAGTCCGTGAGTTTCCGTCAACCTTATGTTCTGCTTGAAACTAAATTGTCTACAGTTTGTGAACTACACTCATTTTTACACAAGTTTGCTTTCCTGCGTGCTCCTAATGACATAATTAAAATTCGAACTTGGAAATTTGGCAGTGTATCTCGTATGACAGTGAGACATAATACAGATTTAATCGTGACAAATGCCAGTCGGTTAGTTCGACTTGATAATAATGAGCAGAGACATACATTATTAAGCAGTGAACCGAAATTAATTTAAAACACAACTCACCTTCTTACAACCCGTATCCCAAAAATGTTCCCATGGTGTTTTTGTGGTGCATTTGGGCAGTTCGTCGCGCAGAATCGAAACAAATATTGCTGAAAAACCAAAGAGCAAATAATGTGACACTGAAAGAAGCAAGCTCTAATTTCAGCTAACTTGACTGTCTATAGCGTAGGGATTAGCATACTCATCGAAACAGTGATTGCGTATCAAACACTGCTAGGATATTTCCTAGGATACCTCACTGGATTTGAGAACTCACTCAATCCTTGGACTTCCGAAGAACACAGCAGAATAATCACCGCGAAGCTCAACAGCTGAATCATCTTTGTTCGGCACTCGTCTTCGCCTTTGAACTTCTTTAAATAACGTCTTTTGGATGAGACTTCCAAAGAATGTCATCACCAGACACGACGCAAATTCTTTGCTTACGTTCTCAGAAGCGACTGAGTTCAGAAACGTACACACGAATGCTTGAGATGGCTTATTCGGATCGGATGTGTGCAGCCGTAGCCACGAACTTTTGTCGCTTTAAGGTTGTTTAATAACGCGTGTTTGAAGAAAGGTATGGAGTCTGAGAGTGATTAATATTCGTGTGATAAGAGCAATACATCCACCGAATCGAAACTTTTCTAAGTGCATATCAACACTCAAATTGAAATTTGCAAAATAGTTTGTAATTTGACGCAACAGCATTATGCCACAACTATCGACTGCGGAAACGGGTGTAAAGCGTGGCTTGTGAGATTCTCTCTGCCGATACCTGAAATCCTAGAGTTTGAAGGTGAGATGTGACACTTAACATGAGCAAACTAATGTTTGGCTTATGAGCTGTCTCACTCTCGTAAAGTCCTTTGTTCTGAAGAACTGCTTAAGCACACCTGCTACCGGTTTGTATGTCTCCAAATAATCCAAGTTGATTGATCAAGTTATCTACTTTGGTCACCAACATTGTATGTATGTTTCAGTTTCCAACCTCTTGTATACTATTGCACATTTCTTCTACTGTAAGAGTATATTCACGCATGTTTGACCGCAGGTGGGTTAGGCACGTAAATCAATTGCTGCTGCGGTCATCGGTTTGGTAATTGAGCCAGGCATTTTAACAGCAAACGTCCTACCACCACAGCTCTTCGTTGGCTGTGCTCAATGGGCTACCAATGATCTTCTTTGATTGAAGGGCGGGAGTTCATTCAAAGAGAGGTCAGATGGATGGTGAACATGATTAGGTGTTCTCGACAATCCAAAGCCGGTTTCAGCCTTCTTAGGGCTCAGCAGTTCCCGAATTTCCATCAACCCTCATGTTTTACTTGAACACACATTGCACGAAATTCGACTAATGCACTCATCTGCATAGCAGTTTGATTTTAACGAGAGATTCAGCTGAAACTCAGCTGAATTTCTTGTTGATACTATTTTCCCGTTAAAAACAAACTGGTGTGCAAATGACCGCGAATTCACGAATTTTACTACAGTTCGGATTTAATTAGAACGTAAGAAAACTCGGGAACTGGACTTACTTGATGAGGGTGATTGTGAAGAGCAAAATCGGTTGCTTCCAACAAACCTATAAGTAGTTTCCTTGCGATATTACGAACATCGCACTTGAAGAACGTACGATAGATTCAGTTAATTTCTCAGGTTAGTCTCCCGTGAAATCCAAAGTGGCATGCAAATGCATGTATTTGTCAACGTAATCCGTCTTTGAGGCTAGGAGTTTCTTGTACTTGCTTTAAAGGGCGCGAGAGACATAGTATTTTACAGCTCGTCTGAAAGTATAGCTAGTTTAACATAGGTTAGTTTGAGACAGCATTGCGACGTTATAATTAGGTTAGGACTTTGCACTACGCATCAAGGCTACAAAACTGTTTAAACATTATGAGACCAAACACGATGACACACTATTCGTAAAAGTCTAAATCACGAAAGCCCTTCTGTTGTAATAGCTGATGCAACTATGTTTTGTCATGTTTTTAGCTTATTCCGGCTAGCTGGCATAAAGCATTTCCGTCCTCACTCATTCTAGTTACCAGGGTTGGTGGACCTTGCGTGGCTGATTCTTGTTAATGCAGATTCGAAATTCGTTACCTTAGCTACGGAAAGCACATCACGTGGTCACAAGACGTGAGAAGTTGTTACACATGAAGTCGGTCAACAAATGAATACGTTATGCGGTTCCTGTTATTGAAGGATGAGTGGTAATCACAATTTTGATCAGCCACTCGTGGCTGAATGGGTAAGTGCTCAAACTACGAGCCAGGAGGTCGCAGGTTTAAAGCTCCCTACTGGAGTTTCGTGAGATGCACACTGTTGATGATTCTCCAGAAGGACTTAACAGATGGAGAAGGATGAGTGGTAATCACAATTTTGATCAGCCACTCGTGGCTGAATGGGTAAGTGCTCAAACTACGAGCCAGGAGGTCGCAGGTTTAAAGCTCCCTACTGGAGTTTCGTGAGATGCACACTGTTGATGATAGAAGGGAAGGACTTAACAGATGGACAGATCTCTTCAGCATTGACTGACTTCACCTACAAAACACAATCTTGACCGAACGATATGAAAACTTCAGATGAGGCTTGGTGAAGATGGTCTAGAAGCTAGAGCTTTGACAAACCCCGATGTAAGGGGTGGGTGGGTATAACCCTTATGGACAGAATAGTTGACCTCATTCCTGTTAGTTGTTTCAAGGAACTATTGGCATCGCTTTTTAATGGTTGTTACCCAGGAAGATCTACGTTCTTAAAGTGTGCTTGTTGTGAATACGATACCTTCGGTTTGATTATGGTTTGTGGTGTGGTGGACCACTTCTACAGAGGAAAGTTTTGCTGTGCAGATTTTTGCTCTGTGACGTTTTTCTGAAAGGGGGACTACTGTATTGTGCAATACTGAACAGGCAGAACTAAATCCGCAAGAAAGATAGCTTTTTTCAATGGTCAGAGGTTTCCCATACCCTTGAGAGGAAGATGGTCTGTGCTGCAAAGTTATTTATTAGAAAATGCCAACTGACCTGTTACAGACTATTGGACAGGGAAGCAAAACTCCCATATGCACCTTGTTTACAAAAACTGAACATCCAGCTTCTCTTGAACGCGTCTTTCTGAACTTTCCTAGATATTCACTGAGTGTTGCTCAAGTTCAAGCAAATGCTACAAAGCGACTCTATAAATCCGCAAAAGATCTCCCCTTTCAAGCGAATTTACGAGACAACATACTACTCGTATGCCTCCCCATTAGTAATATCACCCCTTGAAAAGGTGCAACCCCTACTCTACAAAAGTTTGAGGCTCTACGTCCCAGTTGGGTAATTTTATGTTGATAACTGCTACCAGTTTCTCAACTGCACTTAAGACTAGCAGTTCTTTTGGAAGGTTATTCAGCTAAAAATACGGTGAAAAATGGGTACGGAGAACATAGTTAAAAACAGCACACGGACTTCATTCCATATGTTGTAGAGCAGTTTACTTTTATAAATTCTTGAGCACGTACTACTATTTAGGCTATTTGTATGCTCAGAGCTTGACTCAGTCTTTTGACGGAGAGCAGTACCTTATGATCAGGCTTTCAAAAAACGTGGAGATTACTCAGACTTACACCATTTCTCATCTATTTATTTGTGTTTTTTAACAACCCAGTTTTCTACCAGGATACAACTTTCAAAGTTGCGTTCTCATTCATTATCCACTTTTAATCTGACCAACGTAAGCCCTGAGAGTAGGAACCAATTAGGGTGAAGTCGTTGATTCCAACACAAAATCAAAGCTTCTTCTCAGACACTTCTGCCGTGAGTGAATTTGTTCTCTCGCACCGGCACGATGAGCACCACGTATTGATCAAGCGCCGAACCAAGCGTGCAAGAAACCACAATGTCAGCACGGAGGTATCAATTCTATGTCGCCAGGTTTCTTCGCAACTGCAAAGCGGCTCGAGTAATGTGACTGGTTAGAAATACAATTCTAATTTGGTTAAATTTTGAAGAGCACAGACAAAGAACCAAGCGTGCAAGAAACCACGATGTCAGCACGGAGGTATCAATTCTATGTCGCCAGGTATCTTCGCAACTGCAAAGCGGCTCGAGTCATGCGACTGGTTAGAAATACATTTCTAATTTAGTTAAAATATGAAGATCCACTGTCAAAAATGTCAATATTTTGGGCTGCGTCAAGCAAATAAACGAGACATTGGCCGTTTGGCAAGGCAGATTGTAACCAGTTAGACATATATACACAGTGGCTATACAACTACTTAAACAGGAAAATTATGCTTGACTCGGGGATGATTTCATTGCTAGAAAACTCACATTCCCGTACTTAACCCGATTTGCCATCCTGTTAATGTGGCATAAGCAACGCACACTGAAACAACAGAGAAGAATCGCTTTACATACTGGCGACTAAGTCTTTAAGAAAAGTTGATTATTGATATAGGGAACGCACGCCATTGGCCATTACAAAACCCAACAGTTGATGTCCAAAAACAATTACACTGAAATTCATAAACTTGAAGAGAGCAGAAAAGAACAGCACGAGGATTTGCAAAAAGTATCCCAAAATGACACTGCGGGTAGGAGTTTTGGTCAAAGATTTTCTTCACAAAAGTCATTTGTTCATTTAGAATCCTTTTAGGAAATGTAAGACGAAAACAGCTTATTTGCTGCCCACCATGTGATTTATACAAACCGGCGTTTCTCGGTAAAATCATATCGTTCCTGTTTGAGGGGTGGGGCGATTAGACATTATTGGGAAAGGCAAAGAGAAGCTGTGGGGAAAATACAAGGCGGGAGTTAGGGGTGACAGAGACATTTCTCGGAATACTGATTCCGGGTTTCTTACGCGCACCATCGGTGGGGGGGGGCATTATGTACAAATCATCGTGTACATTCTAGTTAGGGGTGACAGAGACATTTCTCGGAATACTGATTCCGGGTTTCTTACGCGCACCATCGGTGGGGGGGGGCATTATGTACAAATCATCGTCTGTGTACATTCTCACTTGTCGACATGACCCAGTTCCTTGCAGTTTTCACTTCGTGTGTGCGTGTGCCTCCAAACGTTCAGCCTTGGATCCAAGGGATTGAATATCAGACCATAATCGGCT